TTCAAGATGTTCCAATGAAGACCCTTTCGGAACAGTTGAATGATGTTCGGATGGATAGTGACGGTGTGGCTTCTTCAAACATCCATAGGCATGGAAGACAAGCTCGGCAGGAGAGAACTGCTGATGAACCAGAAGACGGTATCCAGGGTTACTGTAGTGGATTGAATAGGGCAAAAAGACGGAAGTTTCGAGGTACAAGAAGACGTCGTGCTGCTGCTGTGGGCTCTAGAGATATAAATGTTCAGAATGAATTGTCTGTAGCCTCTAATACTCTCGGTCAAGGTTCAGGGCACCCCAAGTACCACATGGAAGGAGAGGAAGAGTATGATGAGCAAAACGTCACAAGGGCTCCTGGAAATGGATGTGGTATTCCGTGGAATTGGTCAAGAATTCATCACAGAGGCAAAACATTTCTTGACATGGCTGGAAGGAGTTTTTCCTGTGGTTTGTCCGATTCAAGATTAAAGAAAGGGGGTCCTTCTGGCCATGGGAGAGATATTGCTGAGATGCCCGTGGCATCGGTGAACTCAAGCTCGTCTTCTAAGTCAAATGCTGAGGCATTGCCTCTATTAGTTGATGCATCTGGATCACAGGAAAGCACTGAAAATGGTGGGTGGGTGCGTCGCTATTCTGGTGAACTTGGTATTTATGCTGATAATTTATTTAAGCATGATGTTGATTCTGACCTTGCTTCTGAAGCTAGATCAGGTGAGCAACGTAAGTTGAGAGGGCGGTCTCGAAGTAGGCATCAAAACCTGACACAAAAGTACATGCCAAGAACCTTCAGAGATCTGGTGGGGCAGAATTTGGTGGCTCAAGCTCTCTCAAATGCTGTCATAAGAAAGAAAGTAGGATTTCTTTATGTCTTTTATGGTCCGCATGGCACCGGGAAAACTTCATGTGCTCGAATATTTGCTAGAGCTTTAAATTGCCAGTCTCTGGAACACCCTAAACCTTGCGGGTTTTGCAATTCTTGCATAGCCCATGATATGGGAAAGAGCAGAAATATAAGGGAAGTTGGCCCTGTAAGTAATTTCGACTTTGAGAGAATTATGGACCTACTTGACAATATGATTATTTCCCAGCTTCCATCACATTACAGAGTATTCATATTTGATGACTGCGATACGTTATCCCCTGAATGTTGGAGCGCCATATCAAAGGTTATTGATCGAGCACCTAGACGAGTGGTTTTTGTCCTCGTCTGTTCGAGCCTTGAAGTTTTGCCTCACATAATCATATCTAGGTGCCAAAAGTTCTTTTTCCCAAAGCTAAAGGATGCAGATATCATTTACACTTTGCAGTGGATTGCCACCAAAGAAGATTTAGAAATTGATAAGGATGCTCTAAAACTTATTGCATCAAGATCAGATGGTTCATTAAGAGATGCTGAGATGACTCTTGAGCAACTGAGTTTGCTTGGTCAGAGAATCTCTGTTCCATTGGTTCAGGAACTGGTATGATGTTTCTTTCTCCGCAAGAAAATATCTTAGTACTTGGTGTCATCCCCTTCTTCCTTTTTTTCTTTCTTTTTTTTTTTCTCTCCTGGCATTTTATGTCTTACTTCTTTTTTTTTTTTTTTTTTTTTTTTTTTTTTTTTTTTTTTTTTTT